TCAGATCTGTCACATTGAGACATAACATTACTGGGGGCGCTATTCATTGCATACATAGTAACTACATGGTTGAAGGAGAGACACACACACACACACACACACACACAGTAGCACTCAGTGAATTTTAACCGGCAGCTACTTCAACAGATGTTTGTTTGGGAGACGGGTTGGTTAAAAAAATTAAGAGATACCACCGAAAAATCCATTCGTTTAAAAAGCTTTTTCAGCTGAAAATGGCAACAGATTGTAAGTTTATACAAGTTAATATTATAATGCAGGTAGCTTCATAGTTTTAAAACATAGTTTTAAATGTTGTGTTCTTTATTGGTTGAAAAAAAAAAAAAAGCTGGCCGCTCCTAATGAGCCTGGTTCAGTTCTACTGGAGGTTTCTTCTTGTTCAAAGGGATTTTCCTACCTGAGGTCATCAACCTCTATAACGGTCAAGGTTTGGATAACACTGCCCACACCTCAGCCGCTGTTCTGTCAGATGAGCATACTTCGTCAGGCCAGCATAACCATAGTCAATACGCATGCGCAAGGCGTCTTTCCTTTATCTCTTTAGTCATGTACAAAAAAAACTATTTAAAGTGAGATCACCATACACTTCAAAATAACAGCAAAAAATAAGTCATTGTTTTTTTGTACATGACTAAAGGGATACACGCCCGTTGAGGTAGTTTAAAGTTTATTTTTTATACAAAATTAAGGAGATACACTAAACAGGGCTCGATGTTAACAATTGCCCGATCTCCCGGGGAAAGTAGTTGTTATTGTCGGCAGAGTACAAATTTCATTGCATTTGCCCGCAGGGCAAGTGCAATGATCACAAAAAAAAATTATTTATCACTCAAAATTACATTAAAAATCACCGAAATTCGATGAAAACGACCTGGAAGCGTTGCCTGCGCCATTTTTGTTGTTTTGTACACATTCTCGCGTGATTGTCCGCCAGATGGCGTGATTTTTGTATGGGAATTGGCGCAAATCAGACATTTTTTCCGACTTGGCAGGCTAAAAAACAACAACAAGGCAGAAAAATGTAAGTAGAGTAACACACCCACCACCTATTGTATAAGGTGGTGGGTGTATAAAA